CCAGAGCGCAGACAGAAGATAACATTACAAAAAAATTAAAATATTTTAGCTTTTGATGGCAATACCATGCCTTCTTAACCCCCCTTTTTTTTTTTTTGCCTTGCAACGTTACATATGTAAGGAAAACATAAATTAACCATTTACTTAACTCTAAACCAAAATCACAAGGTAAGCCCAAAAGCCAAGTCCAAGCCCTAACAATACACGGACCTCATTTCTACCGGAACCTGAAAACCAGACACGAACATCGTCCACCACCGGACCACACAGTGAGCTCATGTCATCGGTTCTTGTATTGTAATACACACTGTAGAATGCTATTCGTGTCCTTTCGGCCTTGGCTGTGAAGTTCACACTAACAACTTGGAAGGTGGAGTTAGAGTCGGGCGTGTAATGATAATTTTGTGCCTGGTCACCTGCGAACGCCATAACAGCCAGTGGCTCCTTGCATTTATCCCTAGCATGCCCCAAAGAGAAGGTCAAGCAATATAGTTTATCTGGTTTGGTTTCCACCATTTGAGAAATGATGCCTTCCTTGCCCGACACCAACTCGACGGCACGTTTGCCTTCGGGGACTGCGTAATGGTTGGAATCAATGTATCGGACTGCCCTGTTCGATTCCACCATCCATCCCGGTAACGGCGATGTCTCTTCGTCAAGGTTGGTTGGGAGCAAGACACCCAGAGATACATTTTGGAACATCCAAGGCCCAAATTCAAAGCCGCTATTAACTACTGCATTGTCTGAATATAACATAAAACAATAATAAATTCAATCAATAACGTGGTCAGAAAAACATAATTATAACTAGAATCTACGTATCCCCCCATTCCTCAGAGCATTCATTATGGTTCTTCCAGATGTAGAAAAATACAAAACTAAATACCGTTTCCCGTATGTACCACACTTGTCTGGCCCATAAACTGTTTATGGATCGATTACTACAGGCTTCGCACGTTTAACGGGACCAAACATAATGTCTTGGACGAAGAAAAAAATGAGAGAAATTGGAGTTTTTTTTTTTTTACCTTTGGGCTTATCAGGGGTGACGAGTTTTTTTATGGCAATATCATCAATGATGGGCCCACATTCGGGGTCATCCTCCATGCCAGTGTTCCTAAAAATCAACGGCAATTTATCCTCCTCCGCCTGGAAAGAAATGGAGTAAGGGTCCCACCCTTGCACATTGTACAATGTCTGGAGGTCTACCGCCTGTGATGCGGGTGGAACGGACACATTCAATGACTCCAGTTGAGCGCACGTGCGGGCAGCACTGAATGTGATTGCGTACGTGGACCCTTTCTCTACCGTCAGTTCCTGGCTGATTTCAGCGTCGTTCCCCAATCTAACGGCTTTCAAGCCTCGGGGCACGATGAGGATCATCCCTCCGCTCACCTTATCCCCAGACGACACCAGCTCAACTCTGCCTTTTGTTATCCAGTTGGGGATCTCCGTGGGCCCATCTGATATTACCTCGCTTGGAAAGCCGTTCGATGGCGCTGTCTCGAAATCACCATTTGCCACCAAACCTTCACAATAATAACACTCTGAGCATTGAATATACTTATGGCCGACTTAGGCACATGTTTCATGTCTAGTAAGATTTGAGAATGAAGTTTGATGGACAGAATATTGAAGAAACGGTATTTTTTTTTACCGTGATTAGAGCTCAAATAGATCACATCCTAGGCTCATTTACAAATTACAACGTGGGGCTGAATTTACATTCATGTATCAATGGGCAATAGGAAGAAAACAAGACTCGGTAAGATGAAAACTAGAATGAAGCTTTCGTAAATTTTTCCTACTTTATGTTCTTTTTTCCGAATTTGCAAAAATATTCAAGATATTGACGTGAACACATTAAGACCGTGAGACTGCTTGGATTATGATTTATGAGCCTCTGTGTTAAGCGTGTGGACCCTATCCCCGTTTCGGCCCATTATTTTATAAACTAGTTCCCCGTACTTTGACGGTCGCTTGACTCTAGGGCTTCAAAACCAAGTACTCGTATTTTCGAGTAATGTGTATTAGATTCATAATTTTTTATTTTTTAAAATATATGTATAAAAAAATTCTAAAATTTATAATATATAGTTTACACAAAATTTAAAAATTCAAATTACATAATTAAAAGAAAATTTATTAAAAATTAAAATTAAAATTAAAATATAATTAAATTTCAAATGTTTCGAAGTTAAAATAAATAATTTAAAAAATAATTTAGAATGTTAATGTAAAATAATTTAATAAATTAAGAATTTAAAATGTTATGGTATTAAAATTTAAGAAATTAGGAATTTTGAATGTTAGAGTGAAATAATTGAGAATTTTTTAATATAAATAAAATAATATATATATATATATAATAAACTGGGCACCTGGTCAACGGGTACCCGGTTAAGTAAAAATTTTGTAACCCGGGCCTAACCCAGAAATCAAAAAAAAAATAACGGGTCGAGTAGCCAACACAAAAAGTCAATTATTTTCAAAATAAATATTCAATATCAGGTTGAGTCAACCAGGTTAGATATTTTTGATCACTCCTACTACTCAACAATGAAAGCTAAAAAGGTAAATAAAAAAATAGAAATGTGATTTACTTATATTTTGTTTTGGCTAATTAGAAGCGCGTGCTTATGACTGTGAGTGTGAATCTTTTATGGGATAGAACTGTGAGCTGAGCTGGAAATCTGGCAATGTGCCAAAAGGACAAGGATTTGCGGGAAGAGCCCTTGTCGTTTGTTAAAACGAAGGTAAAAGAGGAAGAGATATTTTGGCTGCAATGTCCCCCTTCGGTCATTTCACTCACCATTAATATTCTATTATATAATAGCTCACATCTTTCCCTATTTCTTATTTTTAGACGTATAGTATTCAGAATTAACATAAGATTTGATTTATATTTAGAGCCAAATAAAATCAGGTCGATGAATCAAAGAATTCCTCAAATTCGTAAATTTTAAACCTAAAATTACATATCTTCATTTTTTCTAGTTGGGCCACTACCTGTGACATTTGCCACATTTATTTTTCACTTAATTTCCCTTGAATGCTTTTATCTAATGTTTTTCGTTTTCATTTATTGCTTCACTAACTTGTCTTGTTTGAATGTTCAACATTTTTTCCGTTAATAAAGGTACCAACCACCAAGCCATCAAGCCATCAAGCTTGGCCTTAAAGTTTTGCTACTATTAACTCTACATGGGCATCTAAATATGGGTTCATGCTATAGCTTTCGGCCAATTTGACCACCTCTGGCTTGTGGAAAATGCTTCTAACCCCGCTAGGTAGGCAACAACAGACAATGACTGAGGAACACATTTCAAGCTTCCTCACTTGTAAATAATTAATCTATAGAACCACCCCAATTTATTAACATGACTTATAGCTAAATAACAAATATTTAGAGGAATAACAGGCTTAAAGTGAGAAAGGATCTCCAACAAACACTCAATTTTGGTGGGACACATAAATCTATAGTAGAATAATATGTTTAATGCTTATTTTCAAACTATGAACAACCACTAACTGTATGATTAAACCCTTCGAATTTCGAAAAGAAAAGATAAAAAGAACCAACATATCTACAACATTAAAGCCCCACATTTTTAAACTTTGAAAAAAAAAATCAAATCAGCTTGAGTTGTATATAGTTATTCAAGGCTTTCAAACACAATCTTTCTAGTGGTTCGAATGAAGCATAGGTAAAGCTCACTCACTCTTCACTGAAAATGGCGTCGATCTAATGGCTTTAGATGTTATCGGGTTTACTGGAAAGAGAAGAGAATCTTAGCGGAAAATGAGGGAATCCATGTGGGGATTTTGCAAGAGAAAATGGAAAGGAATTGCCGCCGAAATATTAGGGCATTAAATTGGAGTCCATTAGTATAAAAATCGTGAGTCTATTAACTGCTCTTTGAAGGAATCAATGAATGGCAAAGGATGGAAAAACTAAACCTCTTTTAAGTAAAATCAGCTTATAGTAAATTTGTACAGAAACGCCTATAGAAAATCAAAATCAAATCCCTAACATATATGATAACAGATTCACCATGGTACTGTAGCTAATGTGATTGAAGCTTTTAACAGATCTCCAACATAACCACAACCCACCAAGCATAATCCAAAAAGGCAATGTAAGAATTCGACCAGATTTTCTCAGAAACAAAAAAGTGAAAGGGAAATGAAGTTTAAGTGATGTTGTGGAACAGGAAATGTAAAATATGCAGATGGATGAATAAGGGAGATAAAGGTACATACCATCTTCAGCTAATGATAGAGTAGAGAACTGAGCAAAGAGAAGCATAAAAAGGAAGACCCATTTGCTTGTTGTGGAACACTCGGCCATCATCTTCTTTCCCAAAATCCCCTTTGCTTCTCCCCGGTAAAAGACTTCACTCTCTGTTTTGGTGATGGATGGAAGACAGAGCAGGCAGTGTCATTTTATCCAAAGTTTCCAGTACTTAATCGTCCTTTGCACTTTAGCTTTTTCCAGTTAAAGCAATTGCAGTATATTTTATTTGATCACTGTTACATTATGATTTTAACTTTAGTCATGATTTCGGATTTTACTTTTGGGTTAATTAGATTAGATTCTTTAAAGGTTAACATACCTATTGATCATATTACTTTTGGGTTAAATTACTTAATCATATTAAATATATATCATTTTTTTCAAAATTATTTTAATAAAATTTCAATACGCGTGTATGTTTTTATTATATTGAAAAGTTCAAGAATCGAACTATGTCTAATTAAATAATCATCTCATAAATTCAAATTTAACCCGAAAATTAATTACAGAAACTGATTTGTGAATATGTGTTACTAAATTTAGAGAAGGCCCAAATAAATTCCTTGCAATTCGAACAGAAAATAAATGGAGGTATTGTTGTAGGACATTGAGTTTGTCTAATCCGAAGTCCGGCCCAAATAATTACAAAAAACAGGCCTTTCGGTTATACTACAAGGTTTATGTCGATCAAACAAAGCTGAGAGTAGGTAGTCAGGTAGAGCCTGCACTGGAATAACAAAGCACCAAACAACAATGAGTTCCTCCTCCACAGCTCTTCGAGAACTGCAGCGCGACCTCGAAAGCAAAGCTAACGATCTCAGCAAACTCCAAAAAGGCAGGCCTAACCAAGCCCGTTCTCATCCTCTTCTTTATTCAATCCCTATTTGCTTTCAAATATTACGATTAACAAACCCTATGCTTAATTTTTTTATCTACTCATTGAACGGTCGACCCAGATATAGCGAAGAACCATCAAGTCAGGAAGAAATATACTATTCAGTTGGGAGAGAACGAGCTAGTCCTCAAGGTTTCGATGGCTTTTTGTTATTGTGCTGGTTTAATTGTTGAAATGCCTTTATATTGTTGAAATTTTTCGTAGGAGTTGAATTTATTAAACGAGGATGCAAATGTGTACAAGTTGATCGGACCAGTGCTTGTTAAACAAGATTTAGCAGAGGCTAACGCCAACGTTCGTAAGAGAATAGAATACATCTCTGCTGAATTGTAAGATTCCTTTCACATTTTACTTCTAACCTTTTCTTTTGTTGCTAAAGAATATTGTGGATTGTTTATCTTGTATCTGTTTCTATTTATCTTATCTGAGACTAGGAATCATTTATAGTATTATTTTTGCTGGGACATTTTAAGGCTATGTTAGCCACTATCGTCTGGACACAAAGGCGTGGCTTGGGTGGTGTTTGGTTTATGAGTTTTGATGTAAATGAGTGGGTTTTTATATGTGGTTCTCAAACCAGAATTTTCAAAGCCAACTAGAATGCAAATTGTTCTAAGTTTATTATCATTTTTCTGGAGATCTTCCCGTAATGCTTTCCCTGGGAAATTAAGAAGAAGTTGTGTGGTGAAGAAATGCAAGCAAAAGAAAGGAGTTTTGAATAAAGGTTCAAGGACGGATTGATTGATGGGAAGGAAGTGTGGTTTTGTTCCATTGAAGATATCTTTAGGAGCTGTTTTATTTTTGGTGGCTTTGGATCATGATGGTTCTTTTTGTGGAGTTCCCTTCAGAGGCGGTTGATTTCGTTTTAATGGTTGCAAGTGTTGTTTTTCTGTTCTGTTATGTCCTTAGGTGTTGGGTTGTTTTTTCTTTTGTTGGAGGTGTAACATAGGTATAGGGTGATTGCCTCTGGGGCTTTGTGGTTGAGGAGGTAGAGTTTTAGGTGATTCTGGTTTTTTGTAATTGTGTCTATCCCCGTATGAGGATATTCCGTGTTTTCATATGTTCTGGGTGTTTTATTTAATGAAATATGAGGTAATCTTTTCTTCTTTCCAATGTTCGTTAACATACTTGTTAATATGTGGACGAATACGAAGGGAGTTTTTAATGAGACCTCCAATTTTTATCAAAAAATATGCTATGCTTCACATCAAGCTTTACAGATTTGTAATCATATATACTTCCTCTGTTACTCTTTATTTTACATGCTTGGGCAATAGTACCCTTGTGCGTAATGTGATATTGGGATTATCATTCCATAGTTTCATGTATATGAACTTTAAAACTTTGTTTCCGTCAACAGGAAGCGGCTTGATGGATCTCTTCAAGATTTGGAAGAGAAACAACACAGCAAGAGAGAAGCGGTTGGTTTTCTTCCTTTCAAAGTGCTTTTACTGTATGCTATATTGCTATTTTAATTGTCTGCATTTGACTTTAAACAACTGTAACACATGTTTCCAAATTGCATATAAAAAAAATTAACATCCGAGTCTAAGATTGGTTGTTAGTGTGGTTTGAGGCATTAAGCAAGGGTCGATTGGTTCTACCTGCAACTGAATCCTTATTATAGTTTTTTTTAGCTCTTAATGAGTGACTGAAATAAGTAATTTCATTGGGGGTGCTAATTTGCTAATTTGCACTATTTACTTAGTTGGCCTTGCCTTATTCATCAGGGTCCAATTTCATTTGAATTTGTCCTTAATTTAAACCACTCTATTGTTTACAGATTTCTTGGTTTGCCTTTTGCATTTCAGAGACTCGTGTGTGTAACATCAAAGTATATTTTTTTTTTACCTTTTAATACTGTTGTCATTTACAAACTGCGTTTTTTACATGGATGCATCTTGCTTTTTGGTTTTTATGGAAGTTGCCTACTTGCCTCAAAAACTGGAATACAACCATCATATAAATTTCCTTTGAATCTCTAAGATATGAAATCAAATCATCTTTTAGTATTTTACGAATCCACTAGAATCCTTTTTTTACTTTCTTCTAGGTTGAACACTAAGAAAATGTAAATAGATATATCAAGCATATTTTCTTTGTGCTCATTTCTACCCGCTCTCATGGGACATTCCTAATTTATATTTTGCAAAAAGGTTAAATGCATGGATATGCTCTTTTTGTTGAACTTGAGCATAACAAAGTATTTGAATAAAAGCAAAAAATTGAATTTGATCATTGGTTTTGTGTCTGCTAGATATTGAAGGTGCAGCAGAGGATTCAATCTCATCAAGCCGGAAAGGCTAAGGCATAGCCCATCATCATTTGTTTGTCAACATGAATGCCATCGTTCTAGTGGGATGATATTTAATGCTGTATATCATGCTTGCAAACCTCTGTTGGAGCTATTTCTTGAACCATTGTTGTAAAAGCTACAGTGTGTAGTTGCTCCTTTAACATCCAATAGTCACGACAGTATCATAAGTTCTAAGCAATGCATTTTCTGCCTTTTTGGTGATACTGATAATAATCACCACTTAAATTTGCAGCTTGATGGCTTTTTCGGTTGTAGAATTTATGGCTTTGCGTACTGATATGGGTTGATTTCCGCTCGTTTATATTATCACAACACTTGGCACTCTCTCTCTCTAAAAGTTATTCTCCGTCTTCTCTCAAGAAACACTGCCGGGTATAATGGTGCCACGTTGATCACCACGTTAGGGCACCGATGAGAGAAAAGAAGCCATTTTTAGGCTGTTGTTATGTCGTGAACCAAATAATTGAGTTAGGGCTGTTTGATAAAATAAAATGATTTAGCGTTGAATAATTTAATGGTCTGAATGATTCAAAGAATTTGTATGAATTAGTTCTGAATTTGACATGTTTGATAATGATTTTGAATGTACAATCTGAATTATAAATATTTTTATTTTTACCTTCATAATGATTTATTATATTATAAGATATAATTGTTTAATAAGACAACATGTGAAAAAAATAGGTATTATGATAAAATATCGAGTGTTTAATTATTCAAAATGTACTTTAATACTGAATCATTTAGTAGTGTTTTGTTGTTTCATTCAACATAGTTTTCATTTAGATGTGAGAATCAAACACGTTGAATGTTGAACGGTTCAACATTCAACGTTGAATGGTTCCATTCAGCAGTAACACAAACGACCCCTTAGTTTTCTGCAAATCTCTCCCAAAACATTTAGATATAGGTTTTCAGTTTTGAAGTGGTCTACTTGATTCACTGTTTTACATTGTGGAATCACTCCGATATGTGAATTCTCTTCCTTGGTCATCTTGAATTTGCAAGGGGATGAACCAGGGCCTTCATCTTTGGTAGTCCTGTAAACGAACAGGAATGAATGTATTTTCATGTATGTTTATTTAACTTTAATTGAAAATATAAAAGAATACGAATAACTAAACAAATGAAATTTTTTTTCGTGTTCATTCGTTAAAAAAATTAGCTTGTTTGTGATCGTTTATGTTCATTCGTGATAAATGAACACAAACGAATATAAACGAACGAACATAAAATTAATTGTGTTTATATTTGAGAAGAGTTTTTTTTTTTTTCAAAATAATTTTGGGCTTTATATATTCTTTAATTGATTTGAGTATTTTTTTATTTGGGTTTGAAATTAATTGGATTTTAAAATATTTAAAATTTATTAAGTCTTAACATTTCAAATGAGTATGGAGATTAGACTAAATATAAATAAATGAATATAAACGAAAATAAATAAACAAAGATAAACAAACGGATTATCGAATGTTTACAAACATAAACAAATAAGTCTTTTGTCTATGTTCATTTATTTAATTAAAAAATTATAAAATTTTATTCACATTCGTTCGTTTAATAAATAAATCAACATAAATAAACAGCTGAACGACTTACAAACTGTCATGTTCGGTACCCCTTAGCGATGTAGGGAGGAATGATGAGCTCGTTCTTCATGGAGGCTGACTTTCTTGTTGATCGACCTCTTCTCTGGCTTCTTCCTCAAACCAATCTTGAATTTTATAATTTAATTTAACCAAGATATATAAAATTATATATCACTATAGTATTGAATATTGATGTTTATTTTTAGGGGTATATTACACGAGGGACCACCCAACTATGGTCAAAAATCAATTTAACCACCAAATTTTGATTGAATCAATCAGATCATCTAACTATTTAAATGTTTCAATCAAGCCACCCGCCGTTAGTTTTTAACAGAGATGGTGACGTATCTGTTAATAAAAATGACATAATTATACATTTGATCCTTAATATTTATAAATCCTATCAATTTGGATATAAATTATTTTTAAAACAATAGAAATTAAAAGGAAAATAAATTCACTTCCTTTTCTCCTCCTTAGCTCCGTCTTCCTTCTCATGTTTTCTCGCCTTCGACAGAAAATAAAAACCCTCTTCTCGTTGCTTGTTTGATCGGGTTTCAAGTATCTAAATTATAATATTGATTTGATATTATAATATTCAACATTTGCAATTTAAATTAAATACTAGTCTAATTTCAATATTTAATTTGTATCAAATAACAAATGAATCTTCGATGCTCGTCCTCCTGCAATTAAACAATTCCAAAAATTTATCATAATCATAAAATAATAATATTCAAATATTTATTAATAATAATTCATTAAACAAATATTTTATTCACCATTATTCCTAAATGAGTTGAAATATGTTCATTGTCAAGTCTTAGCAGTGGAATTTGGTCAGCCATTAGAATGAATCTGTAAAAAATAATTAAACAACAATATTTATAAAATCATTTAATATAATCTCAAACACTAACTAACAAAAAAAATTCATATAATAACTTATAATATAATAAACTAAAAAACTAACAAACTAAACTTTTTAAAATATAACTTAAATGCACCCTTAATCAACAACTAATAAACTTTATTTTATATAACTTAAACTAATAAGCTATTTTTTAATTATAATATAACTTAAATTTACTACTAATAAACTAATTAATTAAATTTTGTATATAATATAAATTCAACAACCAAATATAACTTAACTATTGAACTAACTACAAACTAATTAAATATTTTTTATATATGACTAGCGACTAACAAACAAACTAATTAATTATTTTTTTAATATATAACTATTAAACAAACTAATTAAATAATTTTATATTTATGTATGATATAACTTAAACTAACAAGAATATAAATTAAACTAACAAACTAATTAACTAAAATTTTGTTTTACCCTAAACTAAAAAACTAATTATTTAAAATAAAAAAACTAATTTAAATAATAAAAAACTTAACTCGATGATACCGGCTTCCTTTCTTCTTCTTCCTCTTTTCCCTTTCTCTCTTCTCCCTTTCTTTCTTTTATCATTCACGCATGCATCCCATCCAATATATAACCCTAAAACTGATAATCACGGGACCATAAAACTGATAATCACGGGCTGCTCAGTGCCGCGATAATACAACAATAATTGCTGCAATAATGCAGCAATAAGTGCTGCAAATAATGTTGAATTCACGTGAAGAACGTGGATGCAAATAATGCATGCATGCATGGTATTATCACAAAGTGACAAATTGAGGGGGCCACACGCAGGGAATTAAACAAGCTGCCAAAAATGGTGAGTGAAGTAAGGGCCCCAACAGCTTCTGGCGTGAAGAACAAATTGTTCTGGTGTGCATGGCGATCTGCTTGGTCGCAGGGCTTACATGGCAACCAAGAGGGACCAACAGCTCGCATGGATACCTTGGCGACCTCCTACGTCACTCGGAGTACATGGCGACCTACGTGTTTACTGTAGAAATCACCCTATATCAACAATTCATCTAGCCATAGCATTATCTCGTGAATTAATTAGTTTGAGAACATTATCTCGTGTAATTTGCCCGTTTTGAATAGCCTAAAAGGCTTTGAGTTCCGCGGGCAGACTAGGGGCGAAGCATTTAAGGATTGCTGGGGTATATGGTGTAACTCTTAAGCATTTTGAAGAGTTGAAGATGTTGTTGGGCATGAACAACCAAATTCAACAGATAGTGCACAAGCCACTTTTTTGTAACAGAAGAAATGCGTATCTCTCTTGTGAAGATGACCGTGCCATTGATATCGAAATGTGCCCTAGATGCAACAATGTGAGGCTTGTTTATGATTGTCCTCTGGAGGGTTGCCAGCAAAAATCTCTTCGAATTTTGACCCAAATTTAGATACTTGAAACCCGATCAAACAAGCAAAGAGAAGGTTTTTTATTTTCCGTCAAAGGCGAGAAAACGCGAGAAGGAAGACGGAGCTGAGGAGGAGAAATAAAAGTGAATTTATTTTCCTTTTAATTTCAATTATTTAAAAAAAATTTATATCCAAATTGATAGGATTTATAAATATTAAGGACTAAATGTATAATTATGCCATTTTTATTAACGGATACTTCACCATCTCTGTTAAAAACTAACGGCGGGTGACTTGATAGAAACATTTAAATAGTTGGATGGTCTGATTGATTCAATTGAAACTTCAGTGGTCAAATTGATTTTTGACCATAGTTGGGTGGTTACCATTGTAGTTTACCCTTATTTTTATTATCTTCCGCAATATCATACTCGGTCATTGAATCCGTGAAAAGTTCATTTTCTGATGTGATTTAAGGCTGGGTAATACGATCCGCTTAATGAAAGCAAGTATGGTGCCTGCCTACCTACGACAAATCAATCAGCATACTGTTGTCGACTACATTGACGGCCACTCCATGTTCATCCCAAATCAAGTTTATCAATTCAAGGCTGGCACCCAAAAAAAATTGTTCTTTCATCTTCATCCCAAATCTGGTAGCACGGATTCACCGCCTAAAAGTTTAATAAAAAGGAAGAAGATGTTGCCACTCAACATGGTTAACTTGAATCATGCCCTATCTCATCTCTCTTATCCAAGTTTAATGATCATTGAATCTCTCATGTTTCACTCTCTTATGCTTTGACAAGACTGTGCATATTGTCACGCCCTCAGAACTTCGACGCCTCAAACTGTCGGAATATCAGAGTCAAGGTTGACGGGTCGTGCGGCCTTAGACGCTTTTGATGCTCCTCGATCTTCTCTGCGACTAAGTAAGCCTTACCCAAGCCTAGTGAGCGTGCAAACTCACAAAGGTTGGAACCAAGCCCTCAAGGCTTTTAGGATTGCGGAAGCTTTAACACCAACATGGCTATTCCGAGCCACAAGGTCGGACTATCGTGTAGAAGTGCTAACATGAGTGTGGATACTCCTGGCCACAAAGATAGGCAACAAGAACTAAAGAACTCAGAAAGAATATAGCAAATTCCTTAGAGCTATATTACTCTCTCACAAAAAGAAGAATGGAATGGGTAATTATAAATGAGGATGAGAGCTCTCTATTTATAGTTGAGCTCAGTCTCAATCGATAGCCAAGATCGTTTTATATGAAGGGCTCCTAACCCACCTCCCTTAAATTAAGGAAATCCCACCTAACATTATCCTTCTAGAATCC